CCCCAAAACCCCAAAACCCCAAAACCCCAGAGGGATATTTAAAAAAAAAATAAGGAATAGTAGATTCATTGGCAAAAATTAAAATAAGAATTGGCTGAGGCTTAGTCTCAAAGAAACTTACATAAATGAATAAGTAATTGGCATTAAAGGAGGTTGAAATCATTGATTAGAGTTCTTGGCTCTTGATCTGGTGACCATACTTGACTTTTAAGATAATAGCTTGGCTTTTTATCCAGCAGCGGTCTTTTGGGCACCACTGAATGACTTGAACATAGACTTGATCTTGTGATAGTTAGGAGTCATCCAGAAGAAGAAGCATGTCGTAGACATGATCATATAGGTGAGGTACGTATATTCCCCACTAAGTATCTTTTCAGTATACTTGATCACCCCTAACTTTTGGCTTTGATCTGACTCTTCCTCCATCTTGACATCTTCATCATCAACTTTAGAGTTGAGAGTTTTTTAGACTTGATTAATCTAAGGGCTAAAGAATAGTAGCTTCCTGCCGTCGAAATTAGTAATCGACTTAGCTATGGAGTTTTAAGTCATATTTACAAGTTTGAGGGTGCTTGAAGGACTCATCATTAGAGATGAGCAGCACATCATGCAGAACATCACAGCAAGGAACATAAAGCCTTACCCTTAGAATCCACTGTTTAAATGACTGTTTCTCATTCTTGCAAGTCTTAGAGTCCTGATTCCAGAGGAAATAGGAGAAGTCTGAGAAGCTAGGTTAAATTCACCTATTTCATTCTTCTTTGTTCTTTTCTAGGGAACTGAGCCTGGAATATTCTCGAATGAATAGTTATCATCCAACATTTCTTGTTCGTGGTCTGAGAGGGTAGCATTGATCTTATTGATAAGATTTCTCTTAAACTCATCTAGTTCATTTTTCTTGATTCCTACTTATGTGAAATTATCATAGCCGATAAGCTGAGACTTAGCGAATACGTCCTCAAAATATGCTAGTTGCTTCTGCAATAGTATATTCTACGTGTGCAAATTGGTGTTTTAATCGCTTAGTTCCTTAGTCATTTTAGACAATCTTTCAAATTTCTGCTCAAGGTCTTCCTAGTAGCAGTTCTTTCTCTGTCTGCTGCGGACTGCGCTTTCTCTGTTGAGCTTTCTCTTCCTGGCTCTCTTGTACTCAATAGGATCGTCAATATATTTAAATGTGCCGTTTTTGTCCTAAATTACCTCCTAAAGATATTTTTGCTTCTTCTTGGTAAGCTTTGCCACCATCTCGAATGTATTGTCACAACTCATTGTGTCCTTACTGTTTGAGACCACTGACTGATGTGAATTGGAATTGTTGTGAGAACTCTCATTCTGTGATTTAATGCTGGTCTCTATAAGAGTTTTCGCTTATTCCCTAATAATTTCTATTATTATACCTAGTAACTTACTTATTTTCAAGTTTGACTTTTGATTCTTGTTTTTTCATCCTCTTACTAATAGCCTTCTTTGCATTGGCAGCCTCACCAGATTACTAGTGAGAGCCCACGAAGAATATTTCCTTCTGATGCTTAGTTGATACTTTGATTTGCTCTAGGCTAGAGTCCTTGTCAAAAGTAGCGTTAAATTGACTCGTTGTTTGAGAGACATCGTCACTTTGAGATGTAGTAGAAATCATTGAAACTTTGGGGTTATAACTCTGATTCATAGATATATCAGAGTTTTTTTCTATTGCATCCTGATTCAAATAATGGTTATTCTCGTCTATGCTAATGAGAAGTGGAAATATTACTTAGGGATAGGAACTGTAATGGATCTTGTCTAGTCCACATATAGTTTTTAGGGGACTCAACCAAGTCAGTATTAGCGAGAAGCTGATTCTTGTAGAGTGCTGATGGCTGAGGCTCAATTAGGCTAATGTCATCAGCCAGAGACAGCAAATATGAGGTGTTTTTGAAGATGTTAGCATGCTCATCTTCCTCCATTGGGAAAGGTTCTTAGTGAAGTTAAAAGTTTTCAGTCATCTTGAAATTGAGAAGATATTATTAAAACTAATTTATGATTATATAATTAGATTACTAGAAGTTAGTATTTTCATTAATACTGCATCCCTAAATAACTCCTAAATCAACTCGTAAATTTTAATAATACATAGCATTCATAAATTATTCTAACCATCTATTCAAAGCATTTACTCTCAGTCAATTCAGACGGGGTTTTGGGGTTTTGGGGAGATCGGAAGAGCAC